CCCCAAAACCCCAAAACCCCAAAACCCCAAAACCCCAAGAAGTGATAGCTAAATTGAAGCATTGGAATATTTATTCAGTAAGCTCTCCTTCTTCATATCTAGCATTTGTATGATTTTTCTTAGGGATATCGTAAAATTTATGGTCCTGAATCAAGTCAGTCTCTTTTACCTTATCTAGAACAAGGAAGTCGTTGACCACATCAATCTTGCTATACAGAAATTTAAGGTCAAACTAATTATGATCGAGTGAGACAGAACATATTTAGGATGTAATATACCTATAACTTCCAGAGAACTTGCAGTTTTCGGCATAGTCTTTTATATCTTGATACAAATTCAACAACTTGTTCCTCTGCTTGATCAGATTTTGCCCTCTAAATTTTAGAGAACTCTATACATTTTCTTGAATTTCTTATGAAGTTGTTTGAGATCTTTGTTGTGGCACTTGAAGGAGTACTTGGCATGTGCTGAAAGCTCGATGTTTGAGAATATTTCCTTCGCTTCATTCTGTTCTGATGATTTGTTAAAATATTTCTTTGCTCTTTTTCTAAGATTTGATTTACTATTCCATGAATTTGCTGGCAGGATATTATTTCAAGCATAGAATCATTTAGAGCTCTGACTCACCATACTGTTAAGGATTTCTAGATTATGATTCGAATTAGCATACTTTTGAATCAAGTCTTTATGTAATCAACTCGGTCATCACTATGTTTTTAGTTTGAAACTTACCTCCATTCTCAAACATGTTCCATTATTTGTTCCAGCTCGGTATATCTGACCTCTTTTGGATCCGCAATCATCTTTTTATATATGTTGTTGTAAGTATAATCTTCATATTCATGTAATCTACTTTCAAATTGAGATTTTTGTCTTGTCTGAGGTCCTCTCGGATCTGTATTATTACTGCCAGCTTTTATTATTTCCTTAAGTGTAGAATTTTCTTGTTGCAACTGTTTAACTTGTTTCCTCAGCTCAGCGCACTCAGTGATAGTATCTTCGATGAACTTCTTCTTTCTGACTCTGTGTTGTCTTGACCGCTCCTTGTTCGTCTTTGGCTCTTTCTTTTGTGTCATATTTTTCGTTGTTTTCATTTTTATATTTCAAGTAATATTATAAGGCTTGGGGTTTTGGGGTTTTGGGGTTTTGGGGTTTTGGGG